GGGGGGGGGGCGCACCCCCCAGGGAAGGGCATGGCATGACATGACGGGGCCCTCTGTAGTTGCACTGCCATCATTAGTTTGCGTATCGTACGTACCGCGGTCGAGAGTGACAAGTGTCAACGGCCTAAACAAATAACCTTTGACTATTGGCACAGCGTAGCCAGAATGAAATTCTTTTCCGCACAAGTGAACACCCCAGTCTTGTACTTTCCGTGAAAAAACAAAAATAAGCCGTGTGAAACTGAACAAACAACCTGCAGGCCTGTAGCAGGTGTGATCGGGGCACCATGATGGGGCCCCAAGCCCACATATAAGTCTTCAACCAAAGTTGGGAGGCTCTGATCAGAAGGACGCTAGCACCTGCAAAGCACTGTGAAGAAGAAAGAAGCAGCCATGGCCCAACTTCAGTGTTTCCTGCTCGTTCTGGCAGTCATCTTCTGCCTCCTGGTACGATGTGTTGACAAATCTCAAAGAGGTATTACTGAATGTATTGTTCTTCGCTCTCCAGCCTAATCGTTTCTTTTTCACTAATGGCAGAGTACCACTTCTGCGGCAGCGGTGCACAGCTGGCTTGACATATTGCTGGGCTGCGTGTCGTCGGAGGACTTCTGGGCCTGCATGAAGGCAACTGGTGCTCTTCCAGGAAAATAAAGGGTTCAGTAAAAAATAAAGGGTTCAGTAAACAAAAATCTTTGCAGTAATTACTATGTTTGGAGAGAACTCCTGCCATAGCTTTAACTATATATTCTCCACATTTTCTGCTATATTAACAAAAGTGGTTCAAAACAGTATGTAATATGCATAATAAGTTTAGTCAATCTTGATTACAATGATAGATCAATATATTTTAAATAGATATATTAACAGATAAGTAAATGTCACTATTAATCAATAAATTATCAAAAATAATTATAATAAACCTTGCACTTCCTGTATACACTCTGTATACAGATTTCTACTCCCACGAATCACCCAACCATTCCCCGTCCCCTGTGCTCTCACAGTCTGAATTGTCATCTACAGTATTTGTACTTTCCTTCAAACCTAACTGAGCTTTTACCTTTGCAATATCTGCACGTAACTCATTAGTTTTGGCACCAGCTTCTTCTAGTTTATGCCTTAGATTTAATAATTCTGAACATAATGTTTTACTTTTTTCTTTCTCAACAGCAATCAAACTAGCAAGCGCATGAAAACTGTTTGAAGAGTACTCTTCCTTTTCCATTTCATTCTTATGTTTCTCTCTTATTTTTTCTTGTTCCAGTTCAGTTTGAATTTTAATATCCTTCATCTAAAAAAAGGGAAAAAAAAGTCAATGTTACAAGTGGTTTTGATTTTACAATCATAGGGACTTGATGACAAACATTTATGTCTAGTTTTCAGTAAGGACCTACCTTTGAAGGAATAGCTTCAAAAAAGTCACCCAAGTAACTACCAATTTGGGAGAAACTAACTACTTGCTTTGATTCCTTCAGCCAGCCAGGTAGATCTGGATTTACATTGTATCTGTAGTGACTGGTTTGGGCATCCGTATATCTGACATCTGCCAGCACAACCACTCCGTAATCCCCCTGGTGTCGGATAATGCGACCCAAAGCTTGATTTACTGGTCTGACTGCTTCAGACCTGTACCATTCATTACTAGCCTGCTTAAAACAAAATTGATTAAAACAGTGATGGTTGATGACCAGGGAAAGAGGGTAAAGGGGGTTGAACTTACACTTTCACCATCCTTACGAGTGATGTGGATCTCTTTATGTTTTATATTCTGATCATCACTACTTAGAAACGGAACACCAAAAATTATGACAGCTCTTCCAAGGTCATCCTTGAAATCAAGCCCCTCACTCACCTAGAAGAAGGAAATTATGTTAGAGAATCAGTACAAACCTCAAATGTATAAGTTAGGAGACTTATTTAGCAATCTTTTTTAACCTTTCCCCGCAGCACACCAATCATACAAGCTCCATTGCTTCCAGGGTCTTCAATTTTCTGACTAAACGAGTTCTGAAGTCCTGGCAACTTTGATGCATCTTTTGGTTCTTGGTAAATGGGCTGAAAGGTTAAATTGCATATTTAAATAATTTCATACTTTACATACAGCCATATTTTCTACAAAGTGACTTGTTACCTTGATCTTATCAATTGCATCAAATAAAGAGGTACCAGGTTGATAAGGACTGTTTCGCCAGCTTTCAATACATTCTAATTTTGCCTCACCAGATGTAAAGAAAATAAGAAGGCCCTTAGGAGAAAAATTAGCAACCTTTAACACTAATTTTCCGAAAGCTGGATACAAAGTCTCGCCATTGTTCTTTCTGTAATAATAATACTAATGTGTGTTAGAAAATGGGTCACATCAAATTTTACTTCACATGCACCTGATCATCAGCTTCTTATACCTGTTTATATAGCTGGCTCTGAGGGGAACACCTTCGACCCCACCAATAGACAGAGCAAGAACCTGAAATATTGTAATACCATATAAAAAAGAGATATTGCAGAATGTTTGAAAGTAAAAAAACAAAAATCGGAACTTATCCTACCTGGGGCTTTCTGATGACATGGTCATTTTGAAGCTCAATTTCAAAAGGAATACCTAAACTCCTCGTCAATGGTGGGAGAGGTGACAATGTCCCACTTGTTACAATGAATGAATGAACTCCTCTTTTCTGTAAGAATCTCATAATGACACCAGCATCAAAGCACCAGAAAGAAAATGTTGGTACCTTCTTTTTCTCTTCATCTTCAGGAGTGAGCTTCTCTTTGAAAAACTGGAAGCTTTTTTCTAGTATTAATTCTTGAGAGCTTCCACAATCATCAGCGTCTAAGAAAAAGACATTGTATACTACATTCTGCATCTTCCTCAGGCCATCAATTTTTAATTTGTTTCCAGCACAAAATTGTGCAATATCCCTAAGATTTTGATACTGTCTTTGCCATTCTGTTTTAGTGAAACCAGCTTCAGAAAACATTGTGAAACAAAACTGCCCAGTTTTGGCAGTGCCAGCTTCCATAGACTCGAGACTGCGTCTAAGTTTAAACATAATTTTGTCAAGTTCACGAACCGACTTCTCTCCAGGTAATAGTTCAAGCAGCTTGTCATCAACCTTAAAATTCATAATGAAGTCAGATATATGAACATGATACAAAGGCACCCATGTGTACTATAACAGAAAAAGAAACATACCTCATTGCTCTCCAACATCCAGCTGTAAGTTTCCAACTCTCCTTGACAGTTTTCAACATCCACAATTGTCATATCAAATGACGCATTTGCTTCACACACTCTCTCAATATTATGCCCCTCGTCAATAATAACTATAGCATTCTTAAACAAAACAAAACAAATTTCATCAGTAGGTTGAAACATTTAGTTAAGATTTGAAACATGTAACATTTATAAAAAGAAAACATACATTTAAATCAAGTTTAAGTCCTCTCAAGATATGAGGGTTGAAAATATAAGAGTATGGCAAAAATATTATGTCAGCGTGCTCCTTGAGATGGCGTGACATGTAAAATGGACACACTCTATATTTTTTGCACTTTTCGATAAGGCTTTTTTGGTCAAATGCACCAGCCATGGTAAAGAGAACATCAGTTTTCTCTTCCTTCATTTTTTCAAAATTCTTGTAAAATGGGCAAGTGTGCTCGGCTTTACATTTTCCACATTGTCTTCCTGAATCTTCGATGTCAGGAATCACTTCAGGTACTGGGTTTGAACAGTAATTAGGTTTACGGAGTTCCCTGCATTTGTTGTCCTAAGACACACAATCATTAAGAAACAAATGAAATTCAGTTACAGTTGACAGTGAGTGGACTAAGAATTCTTTATGATGCGTAAAACCATACCAGATTGTCTCCAGCTTTTTTGGCAGATGGGTGAATACAAAGATGCCTGCGGGATGCTAACACTGTACTACGTAGATGCTGGTAGCCAGTGTTATCAAATTCATGAATAGCTTGTCTTATCTGCGAGTGGGTCCTTGAACAGAAGTATATTCTGTAGGTTTTGAAAGATTTTAAATCTGAAAACAAAAACCACAATCTCAAAGATTTGTCACGGGTCACCACCATCAGTGGTAATAACAGCATAAACTTTTACCTGATTTAGTCATTTCTTCAAGTGATATTTTATTATCAGATGTAGGATCACTCTCATTGATCAGTCGAAGATCGGGAACCTCCTGGTACTTTTTCTCTAAATCGAGCCATGCTAATGAGCCACATAATAAGCATAAAGTTTTGCCTGTTCCAGTTGGAGATTCTAACAAAGCACTTTTCCCCTAGAAATGTGATTGCAAATAATGAGAATAAAATTCATATTAACATGTAGGAAAAGATACAGAATATGACATTGTGAAAGAGGCCTAAAACTGTACTAATTGCACAAAAACAGAACAAAGCATTAAAGTAATTAAAGTAATGATAGCAGACAGCACAGTTCATTTACTTACAGCCTTTAAACTCTCTAGAAGTTTGGAGATAAAATTCTCCTGGGCAGGATAAGGTACAAAAGGGAATTTAACCCACGTGTCGTTTAACCTTAGCTTCTCCATGTTCTCCAGCCCGCCTGCCTGCAGTTGTGCAGCTCTCTTGCTTCTCTGATGTCAACTTCATGCAGACAGCCAGCAGACGTCTCAGTTTTCAAAACGTAAACAAAACAATCACTGTGACCAACTGCGCGACGACCAGAACAAAAGAAGCAATGACAGGATTAGGTGTTGCCAACAGCGCCTCGGCGCCTGGTGGTTGCTGGCGGTTCGTTTTGAACAGTACTGCAGGATAGTCCAGGATTCAGTATTCCAAAACACCTTTCTCCAGCAATCCAACAAAAAGAAAGGCATGGCTTTGTGTTATTTGAGGCTATTTGGATGAACGGAGCACGAGCACACCCAGCTAAATGTGGCAGGTTTCATGAAAAAATTCTAAAACTGTACATGATGTAGAAAATTATATAATTTAATCTTTGGAATGGAACCACACTTAAGGAAGGGCAGTAAATAATTTTACACTCATTGATACATATAAAATTAATATATATAAATATATATTAAATATTGAAATAATCAGAAGTTTTTTTCTGTTGAGTAAAATGGTTGTAGGAATGTAACTTTGTTATCAAGGTGGAATAAGAATATAAATAGGTAATAAAGTAATTTTACATACATTGATAAAACTGAAAATTTTAAGTACACATTGATCAGCATGTTTGATTTGGTGCTGATTAATTCTTTGACTAAAATATTACACAATACTGAAATACGTATACAGCTAATAATAGATGAATTTCAAAAAAAGCTGATTTCAGATGCTTAATTTGTCATGGCACTCTTACTTACTTTATCACTATCCTATTGCTTCGTCCCACTCCCCATCGCCTGTGCTCTCACAATCAGAGTCATAGTCTGTGCAGTTGTGAGCAGTTGTTGTGGTTTCTGTTAGACCAATTTTATCTTTTGTCATAGCGATCTCCAAAAGTAACAGGGCAGTTGCAGCTGATGCATCCTGTAATTTTTTCTCCAAATTTAATATTTCTGTGCAAAGAGTCTCTTTTCTCTTTGTCTCAACGATTTTTAATTTAGAAAGATCATGGTAATCATAAGCTGGATATTGTTCAACTTCCATTTCCTTTCGATGTCGCAGCCTTATCTTTTCTTGCTGAATTTCAGTTCTTCGTTTAATGTCCTTCATCTACAAAATTGTTATTTAGTAGGCAAGCCGGTTTAAAGGAAAGCGGAGTAGACACAGTTTCACATGAAAATTAGGTGGGCTTACCTTTGAAGGGATGGTTGAAAAGAAATTCTTCAAGCGATTACTAATCTGGGGGAATAACACTACCTCTCTACCTCTTTGAAGCCAACCAGGTAGAGAACGGATGATTTTGTAATTAGAAATGTACCTGACATCTGCCAAAACAACCACTCCATAATCGCCCTGGTGGCGGATAATCCGCCCCAAGGCTTGATTCACTGGTCTGATTGCTTGAGCTTGATACCAATCATCCTCAGCCTTACAAAAAGACATTAATTATGATAAGAAAGAAAAACATTGACAACTGAAATGTTATTGATTGTTTAGTAGAGGAACAAGAAATAATTGTAAAAAGGCTTACCTCTGCACTGTCATGTTCACGAATGTGTTTCTTTTTATGAATCACCCATGGATCCATATAGGGTGGATAAGGCAATCCAAACATAACAACGGCTCTTCCAAGATCATCCTTAAAATCTATTCCTTCACTTACCTAGAAACATATTGAGGAGGGAGGAACTTATTCTAAGCTAGCCAAAAAGGGCAGATGGGGTGAAAGTTTTTGGAATTTACTAATTAACCTCGTACCTTGCCACTCAAAACACCAATCAAGCATGCACCTTTGCTGTTTGGTTCAGCAATTTTTTGACCAAATAATTTTTGGAGTCCAGGTAAATCTGATGACAACTTGGGTTCTTCATAAATTACCTAAATTTAATTTAGTTTTTAGATACTAAATGGGTATAAAAAAGTAACAAGTTTTGCTGTTTTGTTTTTCTAAAGAAGAGTACATTACCTTTTCAGTTTCAATTGCAGCATACAGACTGGAGTAATGTTGGAAAGGAGTTTTACTCCAGACATCTAAGCAGTCTTTTTTAACTCTACCTGAAGGGAAAAAAATGAGAAGACCTTTTGGTGAAACTTCTGCCACCTTGAATACTAATTTTCCAAAAGCAGAATATACACTGTTCTTATTTTTTTCTCTGGAATAAACAAGATAATAATCCAACTGGTTTTAAAATATGTTTACCACAAATAAAGATATAGAAAAAAACGTCTGAAGTCTTGTGTGATCAGTAGGAATAAGAAAATGGTACCTGTAGTCGTATCTTGCATCAAGCTTGGCATTTCCCACTTGGCCTACAGACAAGGCAAGAATCTGGAAAGAGTCAGCAAGTTAAGTCCATTGATTCAAAATGAGGAAAATTGATCACCTGTCTGCTCACACCACATTAGTGCTCTCAAGACAGTACTTTTAACAAAATTACACAGCAGGGATATGGGATGGGAGTTGTCTCACCTGAGATTTATCTATGACATGTTCATTTATGAGCTCAATCTCAAAGGGTATGCCTAAGCTCCTCTTCAAAGGTAGTAGAGGAGAAAGTGTCCCGCTTGTGACAATGAATGAATGTACACCTTGTTTTTGAAGAGATTTCATAATGACACTAGCATCGAAGCACCACAAAAATATTTTTGGCTCCACCTCTTTTAGTATCTCTTCTGGTGTGAGCTTTTCTTTGTAAAGCACAAAGCTTTTTTCCAAAGTCGATTCTTGTGAGCCATCACAATCATCACTATCTAGGTAGAATACAGTCTCTACAACATTAACTATTTTTTTCAAGCCCTCTGTTTTCAATTCCTTTCCCCCTAAAAACTGAGTAATCTCCTTTAGATTATAAAGAAGTCTTCGCCAATCCTGTTTGGTAAAACCAGATTCAGAAAATATTGAGATACAAAATTGACCGTTTTTGGCATTGTTGGGTTCCAGAGTCTCAAGTTTGTGTCTAAGTTTTTCCAAAATCTTTATAAGTTCAAGCACATGTTTCTCTTCTACATCAGTAGGAAACTCTTCATCATCAACGCATTCTAAAGCCTGGTAAACAGGAAAAGAACTGTTTAGTGAGTAAAAACATTAAAGGGAAAAATAATTAAGGAAAATGGGAAAAGTAACTTTACCTTTTTTAACTCTTTCAAGCAGTTAGTAACATCTGGGACTTGTATTGAGAATGAAGCATTTTCTTCACACACCTTTTCAAGATTGTGGCCTTCGTCAATAATGATGATTGCATTCTAAGAAAGAAAGGTCACCATGCAACTAAATTTGAATTAACATAAAAAATCATCTTTATAAAATTTTACAAACCTTTATATCAATATTCATTCCCTTCAAGATATGAGGGTTGAAAATGTATGAATAAGGCAAAAATATTATGTCAGCTTTCTCTTTTAAATGACGCGACATATAAAACGGGCAAACTTTGTATTCCTTGCATTTAGCAATCAAGCTTTTTTGGTCAAAGGCCCCAGCCATAATGAAAGGCTCATCAGTTTTATTTTTCTTCATTTCTTCAAAATTAGTATAAAATGGACATGTATGGTCGCTTTTACATCTTCTGCATTTCTGCAAATCCTCAATGTCAGGGTTAATATCAGGGTTTGGGGCGTCACATTTTGATTTTTTTCGTAGTGATCTGCACTTGTTATCCTGCAACACAAAATATACTACAATTATCAAAACTTTTAAAGCACAATGTGTTTTAATGCTTATTTCAATAAAAACTCCATATTTTGGCGATGGAATAATGATATCATACCAAATTACTACCAGCCTGTTTGGCGGACGGGTGAATACATAAGTGGGTTCGTGATGCCAACACTGCGCTTCGCAGGTGTTGGTATCCAGTCGTCTTAAATTCTTGAATGGCCTGCATTATTTGAGAATGAGTTCTGGTACAAAAGTATATTTTATAACTTTTGGGAGGATTGATATCTAGGTTTAACAAACAGGACCAATCAAAACAGATGGCCAAATTTTTTACATTATCCAAGATAAGCAGAAAATTACACAGGAAATCCTACCTGGCACAGACATTTCATTGTAGTATGTTTGATTGTCTGGTAATGGGACACTCTCGTTTATGACTCTGAGATCTGGTATCTCTTGATACCTTTTCTCCAAATCGAGCCATGCCAATGATGCACATAATAGACATAAGGTTTTACCAGTCCCAGTAGGTGACTCCAACAAAGCATTTTTTCCCTTTGGAAAAGGGCATTGATATAATAAACAGAACGCATGCAAATCAACTTTACATACCAATTTCTAATTTGACAATAATAAAAAGTTAAAGAGAACCAAGGTGTCTATCCACCTTGAAGAGAACCAAAATAATCACTACTGATAATAATACATGTTTACTAGATTAAACAATTTAATTTGCACAATCTAAAATTTTAATGGGGGATTGAATTAATATTATTTTTTATTTGATTTACACAGAAACCAGAGAACAGGGGTTTGTTTACTTACACCGTTTACACCTTCTAACAGTTTTGACATGAATGCCTCTTGAGAGGGATACGGCACAAAAGGAAAATGGACCCACAAATCGTGAATTTTAAACTTTTCCATAGTCACGATAAGAGTAATAATGAAATATTGTAGTGCTCCTCACTTCCTCTTATCCTTGCCGCGCAAAGAACGCGAAGAAATACTTTAAAAAAAACAAAGCGAACAAAAGAATCACGCAACTCACGACTGGCCAACCTCGGGACGATGAGGAAGGGAACGGCGGCCGACATGTAAACCCCCCAACACCAACGACTTCTGACCATAAGCGTTTATTTCAGAAAGGTTGACTACTGATCTCGATAATGTAACAGACTTAAAAACATTTAAAACAAACTCAATCTGTAGGTCTGTGTGAAGGCTTTTTGTTTCCAAGCCCGCCAAGGTTCGTTCTGACGCTATTTAATGAGCAAGGCTGCAGTTTTCAGCTGACTTCACGGTTGAACCGCGAGCAGCCACCCACCCCCCGTGCAGCAGGTTGCGACACACCTTTAAGCCGAACAACGCACAAACAATAAATCAGAAATGAAGTACAACTTTCAAGTGGCACTGGTTTTCCCTCCCCGCCAGCATGACGCCGTGCGGGGTAGGCCACACGGGCGGCGCGCGCGCACGCCTGCTGAGCGCGCTGCCTACCCCGCGGCCGGCGGGCGCTCGCAGGTGGGCCGGCAGAGTAAGGTGTAATAATAGAGGTAACACCTTACAGCAGAGCCGTGGTCAGGGTCAGGGTCACTCACCTTCTCCACCTCCACCTGTGGATTAAACATATCGAGCCAGAGGTGATAGGTTAAATGAAAAAATTCTAAAACCAGTCTCACATGAAGCAGAAAATGATATATATATAATTTGATCTTTGGAATGGAACCACATTGAACTCAAGCAGGGCAGTTGTTAATTTTACACTCATTGATAAGGATGATTAATTAAAAAACAAACAATGTTTGATAATTAATTTGATCACTGAAATAATCACTAACAAAAAAGCATACAGTAATAACAAAATCTTGAAATGCAAGCAAAAGAATGTTAGATATTGAAATTTGCAAATATTCTTTTGGTTACATCGTTGCTCAGTTAACCATTTTACATTTGGGTCCTATTGCTTCATCCCACTCCCCATCGCCTGTGCTTTCACAATCGGAGTCGTAATCTGTGCAATTGTCCGCAGCAGTAGTGCATACTTCCCTTATACCAATTTTAACTTTTGTCTCAGCAATTTCTACAAGTAACGATTGAGTTAAAGCTGATGCACTCTGTATTTTTTTCTCCAGGTCTAATATTTCTTTAGATAGAATTTGTTTTCTTTTAGTCTCAACCATCTTTAAATTGGAAAGGTCATGGTAGTCATAAGCAGGATGTTCTTCTATCTCCATTTCTTTTTGGTGTCTTTCCCGTATTTTTTCTTGTTGAATTTCAGTTCTCTTTTTAATGTTCTTCATCTGCAAATATGGGTAGTAAATTCATGAGGCAACACAGAGTAGGCTTAATTCCTTCAAAGTGAAGATAGACCAGATAGACACTTACCTTTGAAGGGATGGTGGAAAAGAAATTCTTTAAGCGATAGCTGACCTGGGGAAATGCCACAACCTCTCTAGCTTTTTTAAGCCATCCAGGAAGTTCTTTGATAATTCTTTGGTCAATGATGTATCGAGTGTCTGCAAGAACCACAACTCCATAATCCCCTTGGTGTCTGATGATTCTCCCCAAGGCCTGATTTACTGGTCTAATTCCTTGTGATAGGTACCAATCTTCATCAGCCTACAAGAGACACAACAAATTTAAGTTAATTTGGAAATAAAATATTTGTAATCATAATCATAGATGAAAATGAAAAGATGAAAATATGGGGACCAAACTTACTTCTTCACCACGATGTTCACAAATATGTTTTCTTTTATGCTTTACCCATGGATCCATAAAGGGTGGAAATGGAATGCCGAACATTATAACAGCCCTTCCCAGGTCATCTTTAAAATCTATTCCTTCACTCACCTGAAAAGAGACAAAATTACACATTTGTACATCATCTTGGCACAAGGCAGAAGAAATACTCAGGGTAAGAACATATAAAGAAGTATAGCTTTTGTACCTTGCCACTCAATACACCAACTAGGCATGCTCCTTTGCTGTTGGGCTCAGCAATTTTTTTGAAGAATACTTTTTGAAGTCCAGGTAAATCTGATGAGTTTTTGGGTTCTTCATAAATCACCTAAAATGTTACAATATTGTGAACAAAGAGAAATCTTTGAGCACAATCATTCAATAAAAATATAATAATACCTTTTGCTTTTCAATTGCATCATACAAACTGGAATCTTGGAAAGGAGTGTTGTTCCAGTTATCTAGACAGTCTTTTTTAACTTTTCCAGAGGGAAAGAAAATGAGGAGGCCCTTTGGTGAAACTTCAGCCACCTTTAAAACTAATTGTCCAAAAGCTGGATACAAAATGTCCTTGTTTCTTTCTCTGCAATACAAAATGTCTTCATTAGAATTACTTCACAATGTGCGCAACTCAGAGGATACACAAATCCCTCGACAAATCCGCATAGATAGAAAAACAATACACCAACCTGTAATTGAATCTTGCATCAAGACTAGCCTTTTCCACTCTACCAATAGACAAAGCAAGAACCTGAAAAAAATATTCAAGTGAAATCCATGGCACTAAGTAATTTGCTTAAATAATAATACAGGCAATATGGAAGCTATCTCACCTGGGATGTATCTATAACGTGTTCATTTATGAGTTCAACCTCAAAGGTGATACCTAAGCTACTTTTTAATGGCTCCAGAGGAGAAAGTGTGCCACTTGTGACAATGAACGAATGCACCCCTTTCCTCTGCAGGGACTTCATAATAACTCCAGCGTCAAAGCACCACAAAAATATTTTTGGTTCCACACCAGTAAGTATGGTCTCAGGAGTTAGCTTTTCTTTGTAAAGCACAAAGCTTTTTTCCAAAGTTGATTCTTGAGATCCATCACCATCATCACTATCCAAGTAAAAAACCGTGGTAACCACATTAGTTATTTTTCTCATGCCCTCAGTTTTGAGTTCTTTCTCCCCAAAAAACTGTGCAACTTCCTTCAGATTATGAAGTTGTCTTCGCCACTCTTTCTTAGTGAAGCCAGAATCAGAAAAAATGGAGATACAAAATTGGCCATTTCTTGCCTTGTCAGCTTCCAAAAGCTCTAAATTTTTTCGAAGTTTCACCAAAATTTCTTGAAGTTCATGCAGGTCCCTTTCTCTCACAGAAGCAGGAAACTTCTCATCACCAGTGTACTCTAAGGCCTACAATAATAATGTGAACATTTTAGTTATGAGAAAGATAGATCCCCCCAAAATAAAAGTATACAGTATATACTTGCGTTTTTCAACTCTTTCGAGCAATTATCAACATCTGAGAATTGAATGGAAAATGATGCATTTTCTTCACACACTTTTTCAAGGTTGTGGCCTTCATCAATTATAATGATTGCATTCTGGAACCAAGAAATACTGATGAGACAAATGACACTGAAGCAAAGCAATATGAAATAGCTAAGGGGCTTTGCCAACTACCCCCATAAATAAATGTAATCAGTTGAAACCAAATGGCTCTAAAGGATTACAGTATGATAATAAAAATCAATTAACTAAAAATGTTGGTACATACCATTATATCAAGATTCAGGCCCTTCAAGATATGTGGATTAAAAATGTAGGAATAAGGCAAAAAAATGACATCAGCTGTTTCTTTGAGGTGTCGTGACATATAAAATGGGCAAACACTGTACTTCTTACACTTCTCTATCAGAGTTTTTTGGTCAAAAGCTCCTGAAAAGGTAAAAGGAAAGTCGAGCTCATCACCTTTAGCTTTCTTCATTTCTTGAAAATTTGTGTAGAAAGGGCAAGTGTGGTCACAGTTGCATTTTTGGCACTTTTTAGGCACATCTTCTATGTCAGGAATGACTAATGGATCGGGGGCATCGCATTTTGTCTTTTTTCGAAGTGATCTGCACTTGTTGTCCTGTGGTACAACACATAATAAGAAGTTAGTGAAAGATAATGTAGTCTGATGTCAATTCATTTCATACACAAAATTTTATTATGATGAGATTTTATCATACCAAATTACCCCCCGCCTTTTTGGCGGATGGGTGGATGCAAAGGTGGTTTCTAGATGCCAAGACTGTAGTCCGGAGATGCTGGTACCCAGTGTTTTTGAACTCCTGAATGGCCTGCATAATTTGCGAGTGGGTACGGGAGCAAAAATATATTTTATGGCTTTTCGGAGGTTTGAAATCTATGGAACAACAATCAATAAGGGACACAATTTTGCAATGCCTTAAGATTAGCAGAAAGTTAAATTTAAAAAAAGCCCTACCTGACTGACCTGACACAGGCATTTCATCACCAGTTGTTTCATTTTCTGCTGAAGGGCCACTCTCGTTCATTAATCTCAGATCAGGTATCTCCTTATACCGCTTCTCTAAGTCGAGCCAAGCCATAGAGGCGCACAACAAACATAATGTTTTACCTGTTCCAGTTGGTGACTCCAACAAACCATTTTTTCCCTAGAAAGAACAGAGATTGATGAGATAAATTTGAAAAAATGTCTATGATCAGAGCTAAAACCACTTGATAATAAAATATCGACTTTGTGAAAGAATGATTGTGTCATGCAAAGATCGCTAGAATAAATATTATCAAGATAATGACAATAATAATGGTCATAGTTAAAAGACCCAAAATTAATTTGTGTTTATAACTCGAAACCGGCGAGACCGGTGGGTTAAGGGTAAATACTTACACCATTCAAACTTTCCAACAGTTTTGCCATGAATGCCTCCTGAGAGGGATACGGTACGAAAGGGAAATGAACCCATATGTCGTGTATTTTAAACTTTTCCATTGTCATGAACTATTGCAGTTTCCTTCAAGTGCAGCACGATACTCCTTGACGTGTGGACAAAGACACCAAAGACTTATTCAAACACCAGACGCAGTAGCAGACGACCAAGAGACAAAACACTTACGCCTACGCTCCCAGAAAACAAAAGAAGGTTGGTAGGTAGAGGCATGAAGACCAGGTTGGGTAACTTCGGGACAGTAATGTAGCAGTCTGTTTTAACCCCATTATTCTCTTGACAGTGAGCGTTGATGTCAGAGAGACTTTCACTCCCCCCTAAAATAACTCTCAGAACAGTTTCCCCCTGTTCTAGCTTTTGATGGAACTTCATCCATAGATCTCCGTATTGCTTAGAAGCCCGCCAAGTTCAAAAGGTTCGTTCCTTCTGATGGCAATGGGTAACAGGTAGAAAAAAAAGAAGCCCAGGTTGTGTTAACTTTAATTTATTTACCTAACTACATTTACAACAATCTATCATTATAGGCAGACTAGCCTAAGGTCACACTTTTCCTCTCCCCCTCTCGCCTGCGATCTCCTATGCTGCCCGTGCTTCGAAAAGTGGGACCTTAGGCTAGACTCACTATAAACTCATATATACATTTTGCACAGTTGAACATATTATAGACTAAAGTTAAAAACAAACAGAGTATCACAAACTGTTAGGTACAATTGAGATTTTCCAACAGCAGTCTAGTTAAATTATAGCCCACTACCTAGATTTAAAATATCAGGAACGATTTTTCTGTAAATAGAATTATTATTGCTAGATGTACACAATATTTCACCATAATCCTGGCTAGTAATACATATGTTAAATAACAAAGAAGACAAGAGGAGTAACAATGGAAAGAAAAGACACTGGTCCAAACATGCTGCTCCTTCTTACTTAAATTAAAAAATTATGTGGCTGAAAGTTTTCAAAAGGTGGTTTGAGGGGGAAGGGAAATGAGCATATGGATTCAGGAAAGGACCCAATATCAGCCTGCTAATATTAGGGAATTATTTTGACTTTATCAGACAAAAAGTTAAGAAATTGATAATGAAAGAGTCTACTATGCCCACACTGAGAGTAATCATCAACAAATCAATATCACAATAATCTACAACATTATCTTGTAGAACAAGAAATTAATAAATACTATGTACACATATTAGAAGAAAATGCATAACGCACTTATTTAAGAGGGTATTGGTACATAAACTGCCGGGGGCAATACAAAATAGTAAATATCCACAAGGAAGCACGAAAAATGTAACGATCCACAGCCTCCACTACAGAATCTTACTCTACGCAAGGCTCCAGCCCCGTAAAACACTCATACACTCCAGATCGTCTATGTTTGGCGCATAAGCCCCCACACCGCGATCGACCAACCACGAACCCAGTTACTTCTCTGCGAAATGAGACTTTCTTTTCTTCTTCTTCTTCAAGAATCGAGTCTGTAAGTTTGGGGCGATGATACTCCATCCAAGCGCGAGGGGTGCGCTAGGGAGACGACCAGCGAGGGGTCGCGACGCCTCGCTCAGAGCGAGGGGTATGGTCTAGGGATTTCCAAATCAGAACATTTTCCGGAAAAAAAATGAAACTTTTCCAGAGAAAAATTTAAAATGTTGTAATATTTCCAGAAAAAATAAAATAAAATAAAAAATTATAAGGGAATGGTTCAAAAATTTTGAAAACAAAAGATGTTCTTGAAAAATTTCCCCAAAATAATTTTCTGGAAAATTAAAATCCCTAGTGTGGTCTCGGCCCCGCCGCAAGCCGCAGGCAGGGCTGGACCTGCCTCAGGGCCCTGCGGACGCCGCCGACGAGGACGCCGCCGACGAGGACGCCGCCGACGAGGACGCCGCCGACGAGGACGCCGCCGACGAGGACGCCGCCGACGACGGGGGTCACGACTGGCGCGTGGCGGGCTCGCTGGGGGCGTGCCGGCGACGCACGGTCACCGGCACCGACTCTGATCATGGAACCAGCCCGCCGCCGGCCCCGCCGCCCTGGCCGCGCTGCTGCTGCTGCTGCTGCCGCGGCAGGTGCAGCACGGACGTGCAGTTGTTGCGGCCGCGCAGGTGCTTCGTGGCGATCGTGTCCTCGAACGGGCCCACGTTGTTCTCGCTCATGGCGTCGCGGACCTGGACAAGGAACAAGAGGGGGAAAATCCTCAAGCTGAACGACGAATAAATCAAAAAGAAATCAAATACAACAACTACTGCTCTCCGCCAGAGCATGGCGCCGTGCGGGGTAGGCCACACGTGCGGCGGGCGCGCACGCCTGCTCGGCGCGTTGCCTACCCCGCGGCCGGCGGGCGCTCGCCGCCTCGCAGCTCACTCACCTTCTCCACCTCCCGCATCACGCGCAGGAAGTTCTGGCCGGCGAGCTTCTTGAGGTCCTCGGCGGACCAGCGGCCCGAGCGGATCAGCTCGGCGAACAGCACCGGGTAGCTGGACACGTCCTCCAGGCCCTGCGGCGTCCTGCGCGAGCGAAACACATCACGTCAACACACTGAAAAAATAAAACCATCGGCAATTTTTTTTTCACAATCATGTCGCATCACGTATTGGTAATGGAAATGGGAATGACAAACAAATCTGTGATCATGGCATGGTTGTAATTTTTTTCCCAGTCTAGCCGTAATGTTATTTTTTCATCTCAGTCAATTTCTTTTCACGGCAAAAAAAAAAAAAATAAAAAATGTGAGGGTATGCTAAACGTACGCGTTGATGCCGTCGAAGCCGGCGCCGAGCCCGACGTGGTCCACGCCGGCAACGTCCCTGATGTGGTTAATGTGGGCTGCAACAGAAAACCGCACGTCACGGGGCAGCTCAGAAAGGGAAGCAGACAGGGCGAACAAAAATCCGTCTTTCATCTGCAAACTTTCTGTCCCTCTCTTCTTCAAAACACGGAAAAAATTACAAGGGTGAGAGAAGTTTAAAACTGAACTCACCGACGGCGTCCTCTACCGTGGAGAACTCACTGCAGGACAGGAAGTGCGAATAGAAGTTGACCATGACCAATCCCCGATTGTTAGCCTGCAACAAAGAACAACACAAATAATTAGTTTGATCATTTCTAATTTTACTGGACGCTCATCTATGCCCGTTTTGAGATGATGATGTTCTACAAAAGAAAATTCTGTTTACAGTTTTATTTTAGACGCATCATCATTGCTGCTGGTGTCAAGCGGTGATGGTTACATTAACATTTTCCTCTGCTCGCTGCTGTACCGGTGTCTACTGTGTCGGCGTCTTCCCCTCATTTCACATGGATAGGGAAGGAGAGGAGGAGGAGGGGTGGGTAGGGTAGCTAGTTGGAAGGCAGGGGGAGGAAGGGTGGGAGGAACTGTTGGGAGAGGAGGGGGGAGGGGGATAAAGCGGCGCGCTGTGTCGCAGCGCCAGGGGGGACCCGAGCAGCTCAGCCGCGCACCGGAAGCCGTCAGCGGCGGCGTGGACGCACTTGGCGCACCTCCCTCCCTCAGCTCCCTCACCCCTCGCCTTTACTTCCCTCCCGGCAGCTCTCTCTCCCCCCC